TCTCTCCAAGGTCGAGCAGAGCATTCGTGCTAATACAATTAATATAGCTGGCAGCATGGCTCTACCACGTTTGGAAAAACTTTCTGCATGTCTTACCAGGTCGTCACTCCATCTAGCGGGGGGACGCCCTACATACACTTGCGTGCCGATACGAGGTTGCCACTCTATATAGAAATTGACTACTACTTAGGAAATGTTCTTCTTAAAAGCCCGCATAAACTGTTGTTTGTTCACAGTTGAACATGGACCTCTGTTGTACCCGTCTAGGTATTTTACGCCTGGCGTAATTTCTACAGCCAAATAGCAGTGTTTGCACTACTGTGTTTTGGTCTAAAGCGTATACAGAGCCAATAGAAATATTCCGTCTCGGTTCTCGGAGGTGACAACGCATTTGTATCCTTCTTCGTTTGAAGTTGGCGGCAGGTCCATGAAATGCATACGGGAGACGTAGGAAAGAGTAGTGTATTCGTTACGCTGAGGCAAACGAGAACTTTTCATACTAGTAGTATATAATAAGAATTATAAGTGTACGATCAGGGCGTGTTAACACTAGCCAATAATAGTAGCATAGTGATAGTAACCTAAAAGCACAGATTACTTAATAGCTAAAAGTCCAAGTCTTTAATTGCTCGTCGTATAAACATATTCAAAATCGCTCAGCTATCTATGTTCAAAAACAGGGCTATGTTCAAGTTTTCTCTGCTTGATGAAACGAGAATATTCGTAGTAAAACAAGTGTAAGTGATATAACCTTATAATCAGATGTGCAAATACTTGGAAGAACTTTGAAGGGAAGAAAGAATTTCGAATGGGTGACTTGTACCAGTAATCAGAACGTAGCACGACTACCACTACACACTTTGTGGGTGGAGTAATTACAGATCTGAGAGTACTAGGTACTAGGCTCACGATAGGGAAGGCTCACGTTAGGGAAGGTTCACGACCAAGCTTTGTGGCAACCACCATGGCCTTATTTGGTTGATAATCTCATAATATGTCTCTCTATACTATAGTATTTTAATGAAAGAGTAGATGTCTCCATATAGCTGTCAGTAAGCAATTAAAAATTGTATGTTGTGTTATTGAAATGTCAATTTATGACTCTGGGTAAGGTTTGTGTTATCTCAAGAGAGAATTCACATTAACAATATTGAGTGGCTGAGCCCAAGTGCGCACCACTGTAAGCGGTTTGAAAAAAAAAAACGTTTTGAATATTTATGGGCCACGTCATTGTTTACAGCACTTAAGCATTACAGTCGAGGTCGATTTCCATTTAAAGGTTATTAATGTCAACTCCCACTAGTTCTACTTAGTGGTTATGGATTTTAAAGGGATAATAAAAGACAAAGTCGAGTAAGTATTGAACGAATTGCAACTTGTTGTGTTTTGTTTCCATACATTACAATATATAAGTACAAGGTTTAATACCGTTAAAACAGTAAGACTAGGGAAATTTACCGAAATTGTAAATGCTGTATTATTCAAAAACTTTATACAAAAAATAAAAATTATGGTCTCTTTATAGTGGACTCTAGTGCTCGTGTCAGGATCAACGGGGTCTACTCGAACTGGTTTGGCATTCATAAAGGTGTCAGACAGGGATGTGTAGCTTCCCCGTGGCTGTTTAACCTATTTATGGACAGTTCTTTGCAAACTTTGAAAGTTGAAGAATGTGGGTTGAGAATGGGTGAGTTAACCGTCAAATGCCTTTTGTACGCCGATGATAAGTCATATTTGCATCGCCGGCGGCCGAGTTGCAAATGATGGTTATTTTAATGAACTGATCATTGAAAGAAAGGGGAAAGAAGTGAACGCAATTAAGACGAAAGTGATGTTTTTTGAAAGAGAAGAAAGTAAAACGTTATGTGAAATAAGAATAGAAGGGGAGTTGATTGAGCAAGTGGATGAGTTCGTATATTTGGGATGTTTATTTAGCAGGGATGGTAGATATGATAAGGATATAAGAACGACGAGTGAACGCAGGAAATAGAGTGAATGGGGCTCTACACGCTATTATGAGGAGTCAGAATGTGTCAAATAAGGCACGTATGGCAATTCATAGTGCTGTGTTAGTCCCTACTTTAACGTATGGTAGTGAAAGTTGGGTGTGGCAGAAGAAGCATGAGAGTAGAATAAATCCTGTAGAAATGCGGTCCTTAAGGAGTATGCTAGGGCTAAATCTGAATGACAGGGTGAGAAATAGTGTGATAAGAGAAAAGTGTGGTTTGCAAGATGACGTTGTGACAAGGATTAAGAAAGGAATGCTTCGGTGGTTTGGTCATGTAGAAAGAATGAACGAGGAAAGAGTGACAAAGCAAATTTATGTTGCAGAATTGAACGGCAGGGTCGGGAAGGGACGCCCTAGACGAAGGTTTATCGACCAAATCGGCGATACATTAAAAATGGGCCAGATTAGGAGTACCTTAACCGACGAGTGTGTATGCGTAGATATATGGATGTAAAGGAGGCGAGAGAGGTGTCAGGATCGTGCCAAATGGAAGTCCGTAGTCTCTGCCTACCCTTTTGGGTGACAGGCGTGAGTGTTTGTGTGTATGTGTGTGTGTGTAAAAATTATAGTACAATGAATAAAAATGTGTTTTAAGATGCCAAGTGCCGACACAACATAGGCATATTTATTTTGTAATCAGGCCGCCCTCATATGCTCATATGAGGGTCGCCTGATTACAAATACATGTTAGGGATGGTTCAAGCAACTGTTTCGTAGTAAAATGCGAACTATTAGACTCTTTTCGACGATGAATAAAACTAAATAATTTAAATTAGACATATCTGTTTTGCATACCAAGTTTCAAAATTTCCGATACATACATACATACATACATACTCGTAATATTTTAACCTCCTAACATAATAATATTTTCATTTTCCTTACATTTCATCAACACCAGCCTTACCATGTCCCAAAACTGCTCTCGGATATAAGTGGGCTTAGACATATCTTGGGCGTTCACCCCTAGCACAAACAACTTTAAGCCCACTTTCATTCGTATCCACAGCAGCCTTGGGCTTACACTTTCATACTCTTTCACACATTGACCCATTCTTTCTGAAAGGATGACACCAACTCCCTGGCATGCCCGCTTGGTCTCGTCTACTCCAGACCAGTAAGCGGTATACATGCCATGTGCAGTGACATCTCTTCCCTTTCGTTTCGTCTCGTTTACACAACACATCTAATCCTCTATCATTCATCATTTCGCATACTTCATCCATCTTATCATTCATTGCTCCACATACATTCAGCGTAGCCAGACGGGCCTCCGCAATCCACTTTTCGCCCCTCCGGGAGACAGGACGTGACGGGTGGCGAACCTCGTCGCCGGTTATTCTCCCGGAGATTCTTCGCACCCCTGCCCCATTAAAGGGGCGCCGGGAACTCGGGACAATTTCTTTTTCTTCTTGGCTCATGGTGCGAACTAAGGAGTGGTAGATTTTACGCCGCTACCATACGGCGAGGAGCCGAGTCTATCCTATCGGCTTTGTCGCTCGTTTAGCACCACCCGGGTGACGTGTAGGGTGGGCCTAGGATTAGATGGTCGAAGCCTACGGACGCGAGCGACTCATCCCCGATACAATATTTTTATAATTTTAAACTTTAAAAAAAATTAAAAACTGACTCAAATACAAAAAGGAAATATTTTTTCTCACAGAGTACTAGCGTTAAATAATAGCCTAATTGTGCGGTGTATCGTATGGTGAGTGAAGCGAACCGGAGACCCTTTTTACTGGAAGCTAGGCATTCCGTCTTAGTGCTCAGGGGTGAAATTTTTTTTTACTACTTGATACCGGTGATTCGTATTTTGTTACCGAAAAAAATTGGCAAATCTATACAAATAAATAAAATTGAAGTGTCTGTTTGTAATGTCAACATAACAGCTTTTAACTAAATGCATATGAAAGTGTATACGGTACTTATAACAATAACACAATTTTTAAAATTTTTGTCTGTCTGTCTGTTTGTTCCGGCTAATCTCCGAAACGGCTGGACCGATTTTGACGAGACTTTCACTGGCAGATAGCTGATTTCATAAGGAGTAACTTAAGCTATAATAATATTTATTATTATATTATTTAATAATATATATTTATTTTATTTTATTTTAAAAATTGGGTTCGGCGCAAAAACATAAAAACCCTATTACGCGAGCGAAGTCGCGGGGAACAGCTAGTTATTAATAAAATAAAGTAATGTACGGAACGGTTTACAATAATGAAATTCAAAAGGCTTCCTAAGGATTAAAATCTAAAGCTAATAAAAAGATCAAAGTGAAAGTGTTCAGTTTTTCGAAAGATACCTTCTTCACATCCATACCGACCAATTGACGTCCAAGTGAAATTATTTTCAATTAACTTTTTTTTTAATAATAATCGAAATAAATAATTTTAATTGAATTAAACAGAAGTAATAATTGAAATCTCCTCTTGATATTGGTGTACTTTTTTATAATATAAGTGTAATATAAAGCTGGTGAGATCGCGTTTTTTTGATTTGGTGACAAGAGCACTACATCTCCGCTTCGCGTTCGACGTGTGCCAAAGAATATAAAATACTATCACATTCTGAAGCCGGGGCTTTAGTTCTTCAATAGAATACATTTTAGCACCAACTAGAGAATGTGAAATCATTTTACATTCTTGTAAGTTGTTTGAAGTCGGCTTTGATTTTTTTATTAAAATTAATTTTATATTAGGTGACTTAATTTATTGTACGTCCACACAATCTATCTACATTACAGGACAGAAAACAGGTTACACGATACCACATAACAATGTGTATAATATGAACTATGTTTTGACGCACAGCCTACGATGGTCCCACGTGTACAGAAGCATTGCAGCTGTAACTTCATGAGCGCTGACAAACACGACATGCAATAACCACCTTACGTGAACTAGAGCCGCTTACGTGATGTACAGAGGTCCAGCGAGGCGTCGGCAGTGAGTGCACACGAGTACTAGCCTAGTGTGAGGTGACTTACTTGATAGAGGGCTCCGGCGAGCCGCCGGCACTGGAGCACTGCAGGCGCAGCTCCTGGTCCTCGTGCGCGGGGGCGCGCGCTCCGGGCGAGAGGCGCGGCGGCTGCGGCGGCGTGAGCACGGTGAGCGCGTGCGTCTGCGCGTGCAGCGTGCGCCCCGACCCGCCCGCCTTCACGCGGCACTCGAACCGCCCGTTGTCCCGCTCGTACGTCACGTTCGACACCACCAGGTCGAAGCGGCCCTCCGACGGCGCGTACTTTATCCTGCGGATGCCAAAATTCCCTCAGTATCCTGTTAAACTGAACCAGTAAATTTAGGGTAAAATGAAATATTTGACAGAATTCATAGTGAGTTAATATTGTAAGAAAAGTGTAAAGATTAATGTTTCTTTTTGAAATATTAGTTATAATTTATATTAATTAGGCTAGAAATTCCTAAACCCTGATTATGTAATATGTAGTAAAGAAAACGGCGAAATTAGCAACTTAGGTTATTCACTATACTGTATAAAATCGCAAAGAAGATTAATGAAAATATGATCAAATTTTATCAAAAAATATAATATAATTAATTAATTTACAAGTAAGTAAAATTTATAATAATACCTACTCTGTGTATACCCCACAAATTATTATTAATTACTAAAATCTGAGCCTCCTCAGTCTCTTGTGACCGACGTTAGAGATTATTAAACGCGATAAAATTAACTTTATTCAAAGAAATGATAAGCATTTTCTTAATACCGCTCTATCCTCTATCGTGACTCCTACCTCAATGCGCCACGCACCCGCAAAACACAAAGTATAGTAATTGAATTTTTTATTTTATAGGAGAAGGGTGACAAACGGGCACACAGTCCACCTGATAGTGTGGCCCATATACATCTACATCTATCCTCGTTTGCGAATCAAAATGCAGATGCGGTGTCAGCCGTAAGGACTAAGATGGAATGCCGCTTTTCCAGTAAAATGGATCTCTGGTTCTCTACACTCACCATACGGAACACAGCAGCATTATGCTGCTATTCTGTGAGAGCGTGGTTGTTCCCTGTTCGAGCCGACCCATTCGTGCTTCAAATGCACAAATAATTAATATACGAGTAGCTGCAGCATGGCTCTACCACGTAATTTGTATTGAAAAATGATACAAATTAAAAAAAAATGAGAAACTTAACTACATTTTGTGATTCATTAAACGTTTCCTTTAATTTAATATTGTTATGCTACTGTATTCTGAAAAAAAAAAGATCAAAGTGATAGCTCCTTCCATCTAATTGTCCTAATGAAATTTCTTAAAAAATAATGGGGACGTACCAGCGGTAGCAGCGTAACATGATTGTTATGCGTACGAGCTAATAATTATATGACATATACTCAAAATGTCAATTGTATAAATATAAATACGTAATTATGATTTTAGGCCATAAGCCTTGTCCCATTATAAGAGGGTTTTGGAATAGGAATGACTTGCATGATTTGCATCATGGTTGCAAGAGTCCGTCGCGGCGCGGTTGACAATACATTATTCACTTTACAATGCATTCTCAAGATGTTTGTAAATCAGCAAATAAACTATTGATCATATTACCTATACTCTTATATATAGCTTTATTTTAAGTGATAATAATAAATTATTCTAACGAGCAAAATTCCTAAAAAATTATAATCTAATACGGCGTTAAATTTGATTATAATTATGTGAAATTGTTTTTATTATTTAATTAGTTCACCTGAACTTATTAGATCCAATTTACTTAAATCACGTCGATTTTTTTTACATAATTACGTTTTTATTAATTATATTGCTTTAGCATGCGATAAAAATATCTATGCGAAATTAATTTTGGAATACTACATTATGAACGAATAATACAACAATGCTATATGCGTGTCTAATAATGTAGGGATATATATTCGATATGTAAGCTGTCACGGTCACGTATGTTCCAATCCGTGTCTGATGCATAGTGTCAGCACGTACAACACGCCAGTGGAGGCCGAAGAATGAAAGTTGGTTAAACCACAGATTAGATAAGTTACTATACCCAGTATAGGTTGACTTACCGAGTTGAACTATTATTTAAATTAAATCAGAAAAGGCACAAAAACTGAAACTCTGCTACGAGTAATCTCTACATACCTTTAGTAAACGGAAAGAATTTCACTAAAACGCGAATAAAGCGAGTTATTCTATCTTGTAATCTGTCGTAATAGAATAAATTTAATTATGATTGCGTTAATTGTATAATTTCAATAATTGACTATATTATGTTGTATATGTCACAGTCAAAAATCATAACCGGTCAAACCACTTTTGACAGCGAAAATTAGGCAAAATGGTTTTGACCGATGCCCTTAGTCAAAAACAGTTTTGACTGATTTTTGTAGTCAAAAGTGGTATTAACCAACGTTCCTAGTCAAAAATGATGTTGTCTGGTTTAAACTTCAGACTATCGGAAAAACTCGCAATATCAGTAACAGTAGGTTAAGGTGGCTGGGGTGGCGCAAGGGCCACCCCAGCCGCGTTTTCTCTTGCAACTCATTACATTATAATGATATAAAATATAATATTGAAGGAATTGAACTTTTTTTAATTTCAGAAATTCGAAAAGTATAAGCCAAAAGTAGTTTTGACTAACATTCTTGGTCAAAACCACTTTTAACCGATGTAATTTGGTCAAATTCACCCAGTATTTTTGCAGTTAAAAGTGGATTTGACTAACGTCCTTAGTCAAAACTACTTTTGACTGCAAAAATCATTCAAAAGTGGTATTGACCAACATCCTTAATCAAAAGTACTTTTGGCCGATTTTTTGCAGTCAAAAGTGGTATCGACAGTAACATTATATATATATATATATATATATATATATTATAACAATTTATTATGTGCGGACGCGTACATACTAACGAAAATTAAATATTGAATTTGAATCTTATTCGCCAGCGTGCCTTCACGTGTTGGATGGCTATTTATTCAAGACGTGTATCGGCGTTGAATTTTTTTATTTTTATTTCCAGACAAAGCGTTACACAAAATGTCCTCTTGTCGGCGGTACATACTCTTATTAGAAGTGTCTGGTGTTTGATTGTGTTGGATTGGATTTCGGTGAAAATTTAATTAAAATAAATATCTCTACAACAGTACACCATGCAGTTATTTACCACTTCTATAAAACAAGTTTAAAATGGATTAAAGGACTTTGGAATTGTATTTTTGTTCCTTTTTTTTTTTTAATTATTACATTAGGAATTTCTCTTGCATCGTGGAGAGGTTTACATACATAAAATTGCACAAGGACAAACATATAGAACCAGAACAAAGATTCTTAGGCCGTACAACTACCGACTTGTTTCGTACGGCAAAGCTGCACCCAGAAAAACAATGGTCGCTTTAAATAAATAAGACGCTCTATAATTTCCTGCAAATCAACCAAACGATTATGATTGTGTGATTGAAATTTATGAGTAAAAGTTAAAGTTGTGTTGTAATATACATAAAGAATATTATTATGTATCTACACTACTACTAGTTAAAAAAAAACCTATGTCAATCGTTTTACAAGACATGAGCAGCACCTAAGGTGCTTGCTTAAATTTGTATATTAAATAATCCCGTAAATAAGGGTTTAGTAATGGTTTTTTGCCAATTAACGATGACTTAATCGATTTCACGGTCTGGAATTATTGTGTAACTTGTTATTGACGCAACACTTACTGGTAGTTAGTCTCTAGCGGTATATTTCCGATGGCAACATTGTCGTGGCCGCTGGCAGTGTTTCGGACCCAGTAGTATGTGAGTGACTCGCCGGCGCCAGGCTGCAGCGTGAATCGACACTGCAGCGTCACGTCGTCGCCCTCGTGCGCGTCGTGCTGCTCGTCCTCGGCGTGCGCTGCGCTTGCTGCTGCGAAAAACAAACATTGTTTAAAATAATATTTGATAACAACCCATAGACATAATACAACAGCTATTTTTATTCATATTCCATAATATTTATCTTTTATCTACCTAAAAACAAGGAACTTACATTGAGGTGATTTTATAATTTATCTGCGTTATAAATTTTGCGAGCCAAAGAATATTAAAATTTTCTCCAATTTATTTACATTAGAAACAATACAATATTACCTAAATATGGAATCAAGTCTCTTGTTTTCATAAAAGCTTGAATTTTAACTAGCTAGGCTTTAAAGGTAAGCTTGAAACCTATAGGTACTGTGCAATAGTTGTAACTTGTAACCTAGTTAAAAATGATAATTGGTATCAAAAGAGCAATAGAATTTCAAAACAATTCTTAACACAGCAGCTGCACAACATTACACACATACATACATAAACACTCACGGCTGTCACCTAGAGGGGTAGGCAGAGACTACGGACTTCCATTTGGCACGATCCTGACACACCTCTCTCGCCTCCTTTACATCCATATATCTACGCATACATCCTCGTCGGTTAAGGGTACTCCTAATCTGGCCCATTTTCAATATATCGCCAAGTTGGTCGATAAACTTTCGTCTAGGGCTCTAGGGCGTCCCTTCCCAGCAAAATGTCTCCATTAGGGACTTAGTATGTATACATAGTATATAACAATATCTCAAGTAACATACATACTAAAAAGCAAATAGTTCAGTAATATTTATTCATTTTTATAAAACCTTACCCCCACACCGCGTATTTCTCCTATATTGTGGCGGTGTTTTACATACATCAATTCTACATGCATAAACCAGACCCAGAACAGTTATTTGTAGTCCTTTAAAACAATAACTACGTGCAGGATTTAAACTTGCCGAACAACGAACGAACACGTAGCAATGAAATCAAATGTAAATCTATACAAGTTGGATTATAAACTAAAATTCCTCGTGCATCAAAATCAATTAAAAACGAAACACTAAAAGCCAAATCTACAAGTTTGTACTATTCTTGTGCTTTGTACTGAATCAGATTGATTTGACGCAGTCCGATAGCAACGACCACGCGGCGTATTCTTGTATTTTCTACAGTGGCACAAAGATGTTAATTGAAAAAATATATTAAATTGCTGAAAAATCTTAAAATGGTATAAAAGTAATATAGTACTAATTGCAAATCTTTCAAATCTTTGCTTTAAATTTTATAATTTACCATCATGGCGAAAAAGGTCCGCCATGGTAGTTTGAATTCTCGTTCAGGTAGGCCACCGACCTTTGTGTAGTACGACTACGAAATAAAAAACCCAAACGAAGCTTCAGGTTCTGTGATAGGATTTCCTGTGCATTGTCAATAAATCGACAACAAAGCGAATCGAATCGTAATGGACTTACAATGGGCCTTTTAATCTACAAATAGATGTCAGAGAAAGGAAATAAGAGCAATTGGGTCAGTCTGTACTCCATAAAATAAGCTTTAATGCAACACCAATTGCTGAAGACTGGTGTAAAACACGGACGAACGTGATCGTGCAGATCACGTTTCACCGATTGAAACCTACAGCGGTGATGTTATGGTTGTCTAACACCAGAATTGGTAATTTTGCCATTAACACACATGCCTATCCTGATCGTGACGCTCAGATTCATAAAAAAATAAGACTGATCGGAATTTTGAAAATTCTAGTTTTATCACGTATTAAATATACAAATAACAAAACGGAACATACAGATTTCGGTACAAAAATAGTTGTTTATTGTAACTTAACAAAAATAAAATTAATATTACTATTTAAATTTAACATATAAGGTAGGATAAAGGGTAAGAGATATCATAATAAAATTCGTAAACTAATTGGCGATGGACTGCAAAATAAATGTTGGCTCGATTAGGAATCAAACCTAACTTCACCTTGTTCAGTTGTCAATTACTGTGCTTTGACCACTGACCACTGAGCCACGCGATCGTAAGCAAGAAAAAGATTAAAAATGATTTATTGTCTGTCTATGATTATTGTGTGTTCCCCTGTCGAGAAAGAATCAGCAAGAAACCTAACTCCATTTTCAAGGGTGCTGTACTTTAGCAGGAAAAAACAGAACCTTTCTACACTTCATTGTATGTACCTACGTCGCGTCGGTCTGCCCGTCCGTCTGTCAAGATCCTTTTTGGGAGAGGAAGGAACGGTTAGAGATATTTAAGTTAACAATAATATAAAATAAGAAGGTTTACGGTCTCTTAGAGGTGTTAACAATTCAAACTTCTAATTCAGCTACGACCATTTATTTCACAAATTTTTTCGATGACGTAATATCATGAAATTTGGTAAGAGCAAGATCTCGCGTCATAAAATAAGTAAAGTAGAATAAAATCCGAAAATTGTTAATTAAAAATTGCGATTACAAACAGACATTTTGCAGAACGATGTATGGGTTTTCCACTGCAAAGTTGAGTTAGTTATTTCTACCTTTTGGTGAGACTAATGTTCGTTGCTTACTTATAATGCCAGGATTTAGAAAGTACCTGTCTATACATATAATATAATATATAGGTACATAATTAAATTTATAAGGAACCCTCAAGGTGCAAGTCCTACTCGCTTGTGTATATAAATATATTGTAGTTTTAATCCGTTTATCTTTTCTCCATTATTACATATTATAATATAATAATTTAAATCCAGCTGTACAGACTACAGATATTGTAATAGGCTTTGAATTTTAACGGTGTACGCTCTGGTTTCTTTGTTGCTATCGTTACAATGCAAGCATAGGTAAATCAAATCCAAATAACACCTAGAAAAGAAGGTATTACGTACAAATTTTTGTCACAGTCTACTTCTAAAATTCAGCAATAACAATCAACGGTTTAATAGAGAAAGTGATTAAAAAACGGTTATGAAATTGGAAAGCAAGTTGGCTGTAGTTGTAAGAAAAGTTATCGAAGGTAAAAAACGGTACGACGTTGGCGCGGGCAGCGGGTGCGGGCGCGGCTGGCGGTCAATGACACGGGGTCGCGTGCGCCGCTCTCAGCGCCCGCGCTGCTTTCGAAAACAGTGCTGCCAACCGTCTGCGATGCACTTGGATATGTCTTGGTCGCAGTCAATCAGTAAAAAATAAAATGAGGTGATTACGCAACATATAGACAAAAAAAATTTGTAAGAGAATCTAGGGCCTATCATCTGTACGTTAGTGTCGCGTAGTTATCCCAATATGTATGGTGGTAGAATTCCAGTAACTTTCTAGAATTTTAAAGTCTAAATTTTGTCAAAAACATCTTTTGCCTCAGTGGCTTTAACTGCACTCGCGCTGTGTACTGTGTAGTTTACGCCAGTCTAGTTTCCAACTTCTGTTAGGCATAACAATACATAACCGCAACATAAAATACCTACATACATAATACAATTAAAAACCAATCTAATTATATATTGCATAATCGCATCGGAAAGTAACATATTTAACAATTTATTAATTTTTATTTTGCACGCGGGAGTGCCATGCTGCTGCAGCTATATTAGTAGTAGTTGTAGCACGAATCAATCAATCAAAACTCTCACAGAATACCAGCGTAAAATAGCAGCTTAACACTGCTCTGTTTCGTATGGTGAGTGTAGAGAACCGGATACCATTTTTACTGGAAAAGACGCACTCCATCTTAGTCCTCACGGGTGACAAAGCATCTACATTTTGATTCTTTAATGAGGATATCTATCCTCATTAAAGAATCAAGATGTCTATGGGTCACAGTAACCACTTACCATCATGTGGACTGTGTGCTCGTTTGTCACCCTATCCTATAAAAAAAATTTCCACGTACATAATATACTAATGTGATGTCCCATATTTTGTAGATATATAATATATGGTAGTCGTCGTATGCCTGCCTTCTTTTTATCTTAACGCATTATCAACTTTAAGAAGTCAACAGAAAGGTCTCATAACGCCCTACATTTTATAAGGATAAGAACAAATTATCACCGTTTAAATAACTTCCATTATATAGTTCCTAAAAATAAGAAATTTTATTCCCTTTATTTATTTGTTAAAAGTTGGATAAAATTGATATAAATATTTACAATAGGCTTTTATAGATACTGGATATTTGTACCATAGTACCATTTGGACATAGTATAACATAGTTTGATACAAACCATTTTTCAAATAGAAACTTTACATTGGTAATAAATGGTATATAAACTAATTTACATATTATCATAATACAATATTTATTAAAATATAAGAAACTAAAAAGTAAAATGAGAGTAATATACTTATTGATAGTAGGGAGGGCGTCGGCCGAGTATAATTTCAAGGTGGAGATTGACAGGCTTATTAAAGCAAATTAAAAGCACACCAAACAATATTATGCAGTTTTGTTGATTGGTATTATTCATTCTGGTACTTGAATATTGAAAGATACGAGTTTGTTACTTCGAATGAAATTAATTATAACATCAGCATCTGTACCATAACCATAACAGAGACGTGTCCTTAAATAGTCCTAAATCGATTTCGTCATAATACAAATACAGCTTACTTACGTAGCGCTTAAGGTGTTTAAGCTATAACCGATTACCGAAGTACTTAGCTCGTAGTTCGCTCCTTTCCTGGCTCTATTCTCCAGTAGACAGTAGGCGAGTGTTGTTAACGAAAACACACGTGTTCCGCATTGTTAATGCCGAGAGCACGGCAGCCACAAGTGGGGAGTGGTTAGTAATGTAAGTCGAGACCGTGGGAGCATGCGGGCGGGACAATGTGTCGGATTGCAGCTTGAGCATCGCTCAGCCGATACTTTGTTCTACGACCAGTGCCAGATACACTTCCCTGATATAAAAAACATTTTTGTGAAAAATAATTTGACATTATGCAAATATTCAAATGCCACAAATTGTGGCATTCCTTGGGGGAGATTTATGTTCAGCAGTAGACTTGTGAAGGGCTGTATTGATGATGATGATGAAATATTCAAATGTAATAAAGGCCAATTATATTA